GCCTGCCCCGGGGCTTGGGCACGCGGGGCTGCGCTGGGCTCAGCAGCGGCGTCTCCCGCCTTGGCGGTGCTCACAGGGTAACCTAGCCTGGGGAAAGGGTGTGGGGAGAGCGTCCTGCCTCGTGCTGCGACCCCCTTGTCCCAGCTCAGGCCCGGTCGCGCAGCCTGCGCACGCCCCTGTGTTGCCGCCCTTGTTTTGGAACTGCAGCTCTTCCCTCCCTGCAGCGCGCCGCGGCAGCTAACGTGCCCCGTTTGTTTGTTTGTGTATTTATTTAAATATTTTGACCCCTGGGGAAAGGGTGTGGGGAGAGCGTCCTGCCTCGTGCTGCGACCCCCTTGTCCCAGCTCAGGCCCGGTCGCGCAGCCTGCGCACGCCCCTGTGTTGCCGCCCTTGTTTTGGAACTGCAGCTCTTCCCTCCCTGCAGCGCGCCGCGGCAGCTAACGTGCCCCGTTTGTTTGTTTGTGTATTTATTTAAATATTTTGACCCCGCCTCTCTATTTAAAATATTCGAGGTGGCTTACAATTTTTTTTAAACACAATACAAATATATAAAGTTTGTCTTTCACTGTGCTCCAGAACCTTCTCAGGAGCGGTCACGGCTCCAGATTTTTGCTTGGGGATTCGGGGTCATGCTTGACATTGGAGGGACTGAGCAGAAAGTGTGACCTTGCTTCTGCATGCATGTGTAACGGTGGTATGCGTCTATAAAGACTTAGGAAGCTTTAACAGATCTCCAGGGCTACGTCTACACTGGCCCCTTTTCCGGAAGGGGCATGTTAATTTCAGCTATCGTAATAGGGAAATCCGCGGGGGATTTAAATATCCCCCGCGGCATTTAAATAAAAATGTCCGCCGCTTCAAAGTAGGAATAAGATCCTCCGGAAAAGGGCGCTTTTTCCGGAGGATCGGGGCCAGTGTAGACGCTCTTTTCCGGCTTTTCCGCGGATTTCCCTATTACGATAGCTGAAATTAACATGCCCCTTCCGGAAAAGGGGCCAGTGTAGACATAGCCCAGATGTTTACGATGTCAGTATTGGGGACCAAACAAGCATTGCAACAGTGCAGTTATGTTAGAGCAGCATTATGCAGAATTGTACTCCTCAGGCTACTCTGTTTAACAGGGAGTTGCCATATTTCAGAGTAAGCCTCTTTACTAAAACTGTAATGCGTGGCTTCTGATGACTTTGAGTGACATCTCAGATTATGCCTATGGCAAACCACCCATTTACATGAGAAATACAGGACAGAATAGATAAGTTGGAGAAATGGGAACAATGCATTATGGGGTGCCAATGTACCTGGGCTTGCTCTGAGCAAGAAATTCATTGCTGCTTTGTGTTCAGTAATGAAAGTGTTGTGTGTGGTTGCTTAAAGGAATAAGACTGGTGCTTTAAATTATGTTCAGTCAAGGTCATGTCTACACTATGGGTATGTCTACACTTCAGAGAAGATGAAAGCTCCTGCTGTCTATCTTCCAGCATTCAAATTGGTCTAGTAAAGTCACTCTAATTTGAATCAAGAGGGGCACTCCAGTCTCTGCTGGTAGTCCTGCTTCAACAAGGAGTAAAGGAAGTTCAAGGGAGAGTATGCTCTCTTCGATTTTACGCAGTGCGGACAGCACCAAAAGTTGAGTTATAGTACTTCGACTTAAGCTATGCAATTAACATAACTGAAGTTCCATATCTTAATTTGACTTTATCCTGTAGTGTAGACATATCCTCGAGATAAGGTTGAATCTACGGATGTTAGCGTATAGTAATGTAAACAGTTAACCAATAAGCCCAGACTTATTGGTTAATCCTAATGACCAGGGCTCGCCAAGAGGCGGCAAGCCCCGCTCGCCAGCCGCACGATTTCGTGATCACGCTGCACCGGCTCTTCCGGGTTGTAATCTACTTGCCACGGGCGAGTAGAATACATTATTTGTCGAACCCTGCTAATGACTACCTGAACTCCCCCTCCCTTACCCCGCTTTCTCAGTATCAGAGGCAGCAAGTAGGGGGGAAGGTAGGAGCCACTGCATTTGAGGAGCTAGCTGGCTTTTAAGCCTACTCCCCAATAACACTGGATCCCATGGAGTTGCCTGCTCCATCCACCCCCACGCTGCTGCCTCTTGTGATGGTGCAGTCACAGAAGAACCATTGGGGGTGTTTCCTAGTGTGCGGGCAAAGCCACTGACCCTTGCCTCTTTGCTCTCTGGGGCTTCTCACCACCCTGTCCTGCTGGGCCAGATCTCCTGGTCTCCCAGGCCGACTTTAGACAAAATACGTCATGTTACATATACGTAACACAAAAAAGTCTTTGGACAAAATACCTTTTGTAACCTATCAATTTTAATGTCACAATCTGCTGGATTTGAAGATCTTATTTTGATGTATGTATCATTCTTGTATGTAATATTAGAAATATGGGGTTAGAAATGGCTTATGGTTTTAAATTTGCAAATGAAAGCCATCAGGGGTCTTTCTAATGCAGGGATTCCTCAATGGCTGTGTAATTACCTGTAAACAGTCTCCTTTATCCTTGAAGTCTAAGGAGTGGTTGGTCACAGGAAGACATGTGACCACTCCAGTTGGTGGGGTCTGACTGGTAATTTTCCATGGAAGGGGAGAGTGTAGAAAGAAAGAATTCCCATTCAAAAGGAAGGCTATTTAACATGCAAAGTTTCAGGCTTTTTGTCTTTGGCTGGCATGACACCCCAAAGAAGGGTTTCCGGGTTGCTGTGCCTGAAACTTCATTCTCCTCACACCTGAGATGATTCAGTGTCTGCATTGCTCTTCTGGAGTGTGTGTGTGATCTCAGCTCTGCCTTGGCTGGGGGAGACCAGGAGACCTGGCCCAGCAGGAGAGTGGTGAGTAGCCCCAGAGAGTAAGGAGGCAAGTGTCAGTGCTTTTACACACCAGGAAGCAGCCCCAAGGGGGTGTGGTGTAACCACACCCCATCACACTCCTCTCTCAGGGTGCCATGGTCATGCTGTACAGGCAGGCCTGTGTGTTGAGCGAAATGGAACCACAGCTGACATTCGGTTCTATTGACAAAGTGGAATGCCAGTTCTAGTGCTGTGAGACGAGCACAGATTGGTTGGATCATGTAATGCTGCAGGTATGGGATGATCAGTAGGGGCTGCAATGCTTCTGAATGTGCAAGGTAATTTTTGGAACTTTGCAAATGGCTTTCCCCTGCCCTGAAGCACATAGACACCTGAAACCTGCTGTGACTATGGAGAAGTGCATGGCAGTTGCCCTGTGGAAGCTTGCAATGCCAAACAGCTATCGGTCAGTTGGGAATCAGTTTGGAGTGGGGAACACGACAGTGTTATGAATGGCCATTTTTGAGACTCATGCGCATTTCTCTCAATGAGGTGCCCCTGTATTCAGTGTGCTTGCCTGTAATTGTTGGGATGTCATCGAGTAGTTGAGTACAGAATTAACCAATAAGCCTAGGCCTGTATCCGAGGGAGAAAGGAGAGGGGGGAGTGGGAGCTGGAGCCAGTGGTGTGGGGAACCAGCTTTTTAGGATAGGTTTCCCATGAGCACTGGATCCGGGGCAGCAGTGTGGGATGGGGGGAACAGGCGGGAATGGGGAACTAGCTTCTAACAGGCAGCATCAGGGGAGGACAGGAGAAGTTGCTCTGTAGGATGCCAGAGCAGCTTCTGTCTGCCCGGACCCCTTGCAGACAAGGGCTGCTGCCATGGACCAGCTTCTGTCTCCAGCGTGTCCAGGCTCTGTGGGATGGTCATGGGGAGCTTCTTCCACCCTGTGCTGCTGCCTGTGTATCAGAGGCAGCAGCATGGGGTGGCAAGCGGGAGCTGATCTGCGCAGGGAGTTGCCCCCGGGGACTATCAAATAGTCGTATAACTGATAATATTTTTTGCAGTTACACGGCTATTCAGTTAATTGCTATCTAATATCCCTAGTAATCACCCAAACAACTTCTGAGGTAGAAGCAATATAAGGATTGTTGTTCACAGATCATACATTTTTATTTAAGGAAGAGAGTGGGGAAAGAAAAGAAGTCCATGATGGGAACCCAAAGGGGGAGGGACTTAGTCACAAGACGTACAGCCTTTTGCCTCCTGAAGTCCTGGAGATGTAGGCTGTCCCAGAATTCCCCCTGCCCCATGTTCTGGGACCCTGGGGGTAGAGGCTATGGATCTGGGGGAGGAGGGAAAGTTATTTTGTATGGGGTGCATTCTGAGGGGGAGTGAGAGGTTCTTCTCCAGGAATGCAGCTAGGTGTTCCATTACTGCTGTCGGGGGTAAAAATAGTCTCCTGTTGCCTCGCTTGCAACTCCCTGTATGCTCTCTTCTCCTGCTGTTCTGCCACCCTGTCGTGCTTCTCTACCCACATCTCCTCCAGGAGCATATTCCTCCACTCCACTTGCTCCTTAAACCTGTCTTCACCTGCAGATCTGAGAGAGGGACAGCTGCTGGAGGTGGCGGAGTATGCAGCAAACTGCCTGCTGTTCCCGCTGTAATGAAAAGTTGCAGGAGATACATTGTGTTAAATCTAACCTCAATCTATTAATATACACCAAAGGTTTCTGTAAAGACAATAGAGATACGTTCTGTACAAGGCCAACGTTTTGCATTAAAGCAGCCATTGTACAGCAGGTACATAGAGTTCTCAGAGGAGCATCTGGACTCGTGTGGTTTGGAGGCAGACAGGCACATTAAGGGGCAAAGTTGTACGGGTGAGAGTTGGGGAATGGTCATGCCAGTGGGGCAGGGCAGCTTCCCTCTGTGTCCTGCTCATGTGGCTTCCTGAGAGCGTTCTATTTTCCTATCGCACAGGAATCCGAAGGCAGGAGGAAAGGGCAGAAGGGGGTGCCAGAAGCCGAAGCCATGCTAGTAGTAGCAATAGCCAATAGCTTCCACTCCTTTTTCATCCAGATTGATTCAGAGAAGGCTGATACCTCACATGGCAAACATAGTGATAAGGAGCAGATGCTGATTGACCGTGACCAGAAACCTGGGTCTTATGCTGCTATGTTTTTGTGGTTCATTGACACCAGACCATTTACTGGTGGCTTGGTGTGGGAAAGTGTCCTACTGTGGAGGGTGGAATAAGGCTTGCCTCCCCAGAAACTTTTTGAGAGTGATCAGAGTTCTTATCTGAGGGTTTCATGGAGATATACAGGGAGGATTCCTGCTCCATCTCCAAACACGTTAACAAGCTGTTCCAGGCCCCTCACGCCTTAGAGCGTGCAGCACATCTCACCCAATTGCATTAACCCACTTGTAGTAAGAAAAAAATTGTGAACTCATCAGAAGTGCCCTCCCTGGGATCAATACTCCACTGTGAGATGTCCTGGGAGGAGGCGATTGGCTTGAAAGTGATAAAAAGTTCTTGACTCTCGCCAGTTGCCCATTCTCCGCTGCTGCCATCATATTGTTTTCCACTCTGTGGCCAAGAGTGTCTTGGTTGGACTCCATGGTCAGGCTTGGGAAGCTGGTTGAGTGCCTCCCCCTAGAATCGCATATTGCTGGTCATAGAAATGGCATATTTGTGGCGATGTACCAAACTGTCTGTTTGCCTCCTTTGTTTTGTGGTAGGACTGCCTTAGCTCCTTTATTTTAACTCGGCTTGGAGTCTCTGGAATATCCTTTCTCCACCATGGCCGCACAGATATCAGCGTTTCTTCTGCTGGTTCGGAGCTCGGACAGAATGGATTCCTCTCCCTACGCTTCAGTGAGATCCAAGATCGCTTGCATACTCCATGCTGGTGCTGTTTTGCACCTCTGGGAACTGGAGCTTGTGGGACTTCAAGCCATGGCCGCATGTGCTGCTCAGGTGTGCTGCCTGCTGTGAGGTGTGCACTCAAACTTTCCTGTGGCTTTCTGCTCATCTGGAGAGCAGTAGAGGTGCAAGTTCTGACTAGAGTGCTCAAAGTGGGCACTGTGGGATGCCTCCTGGAGGCCAAGAACTTTGACTTTCGCCGATGCTGTGTCTATACTACCGTATATTTGACCAGACAAGGTCAGGAATTACATTACTCCTCATAATAGCAGGAGTACCCAAAATCGACTTCAGCAGCCATTAAGGTTGACTAAACAGACTTGGTAGTGTGGATACATTGGTCAGAAAATTGACTTTATGTGCCTATATTTGGTCTAAACTCTTAGGATATGTCTACACAGCAATATTATTTCGAAATAACCAGTGTTATTTCAAAGTAACTTAGTTCGCATTTACACAGCTGTAACCCTCATTGTATGAGGAGTAAGGAAAGTCGGAGGAAGAGTGCTCTATTTTGAAATAAGTGCTGTGTAGATGCTCCCAATTTTGAAATAAGCTATTTTGAAATAAGCTGTGCAAATGATGTAGGCCCGAGGTGTCTGCACTCCTGTATCTTAACTCCACACAGAGAGAAGAGGATGGAGGGAGCTTGGCAATGCAAATCTGTCACTCACGCTTTGTGTGTCTGTCATTCTCACAAATGCACACTGTTCTTCCCTCTCCTCTCTGCTCCCAGGGTGGGCGGGACTAGAATCCACCACCCTGTGCTCCCCAGGCAAATACTATATCCTGTAGGCCACTCCGGAACCCACTCCACCTTCAGAGGGTCTGTTATCCTGCTTTCCTAATGCAGGAGCCAGCTCCATCCCTGGGGCAGCCTGTTTTGGCTATCTGGTTGATCCAGGGGAGGTGGAAGCTTTGTATAGTTATTTGTGTAGCTTATTTTAAGTTAAGCCCTGCTGTGTAGACACACTTAGTGTAGACCAGGCTGTTGGAGAAAGTAATTGAATACTGGAAGACCTTGTGGGTCAGGGTTTCAAATCTGCATTCACATTAGATACATTAAGATTTAAGAGTCTAAACACGTGTTTTTAGAACAGTAAGTATTTGTTTACAGGTCTGTGGACTCTTGAAACTTATGCCCCTTGGGCATTTCTGCAATGGACCATAGGTCTGATGTGACTAGCCAGAGTATAATACATAGAGTATAATCCCCAACCTTGTACTAAGGACTGTAGGAAGGGAGGTGTTGAAACTTGCTGTGCTGGCTTTATACATGCTTGGATTTGTGAGTGATTTCCACTCCCCTTGCTCTACAAAGCAAGTGTATGGCGGCGGCGGCACAGCTCTGGCTCTGGGATTTGAGCATAAGTTTTGTGGGGGGGGGGGGGTGTGCACACAGCGTGCCGGTGGCTCAGCACACGTGCATCACCTGGAGGGAGAGGCGCGTCTGTAGCGGTGGCTCTGGGACCCAAGAATTAGGTTAGGGCGTGGGTGTGTGTGTGTATACGTATACGTATACATATACCTGGCTCTAGTCTGGGGGGAGAGAGGGAGATTGGGTTGGGGGGCGGGGGGCGCACAGCGTCTCAGGCAGCACGTCTCCAAGCCGGTTGCTAAGCGCACGGGCCTGGAGGGAGATGCGTGTGGCTGTAGTGACGGCTCCGCTACCCGAGAATTAGGTTGGGGAAGGGGATTGGGTTGGGGGTGTGTGTGCCTGGCTCTGGGGAAGGGGAGGGTGTGCCTGGGGGAGGGGAGGGGATGGGGAGAGAAGCCAACGTGCTTCCTGAGACCTAGAATCCCCAGGTAGTGGCCCTAGCTGTCTCTGTCCTAAAAGGGGGGAGGAGGGGGATTGGGTTAGAGCAGGGAGGTTCCTGGGGGAGGGGAAGGGAAGAGCAGCCAGTGTGCTTCCTGAGACCCAGGATCCCCAGGTACTGGCCCTAGCTGTCTCTGTCCCCTCCCCCTAGCCAAGCCCCCACCCCCACGAGTACCTTGTCCCACCACCCTGCCCCCACCAGCACAGTTGGGGCCCTATTAGTGAGGCTTGGGGGTTTTTGTTTTTTTGCATCTCACTTGTGAGGCCTTGACTGACTTTTCTGTGGGTCAGTGACTCCTGACTCAAAACAGGTTCCCTGCCCTTCTCATAAATGAAGACAACGCTGAAACATTTTGTGTTGACATAATATTTTATTTAAAAATGAAGCCTGGCCAACAAGCCCCAGTTGGGGCCAAGCCCCCATCTGGCCACAGCATCATAACACTCCTGCACCCCCTAGACCCCAAATCTGAGCCTATCATACACTGGAACCACCTGTCCTGAGCCGCTCACATCCTCAAACTCCTGCATCCCCCACATCCCCAGTCTTTTGCCACAACACTCCTGCACCATCCACATACTGCATATCTGTGTCCTGAGCCCCTCATGCCCTGAGCCCCTCATGGAAACTCATGCACCCTCACAGCCACAGGCTTGTAGCTTGCTCAACACCTCAACACTCTCCAGCCTGGAGCTCCCTCTCTGAGCCAGCATCCTCGTCTTTACTTCCTCCTGCACCCAAATTCCCTCCCAGAGCTTGCACCTCTTACCTCTTCCCAGTGCTTTTTTTGTGATGGTATGCCCTGGGATGGTGTACCGGCACCTATTTTTCCCTGGGGTGTGTGTGTGTGTGTTTTTTCCCTCAACAACTCTGCCTCCCCCCCCTCCCCTGCCCCCGGTACATGACTCTTCGTGCTCTGTCCATCGCTATTTTGGCTCTTCGTCTCTAACCAGTTGGTCACCCCTGGTTTATACTATCACATCCCTACATGACACGTATATTTAGGATCACTGGCCTGTACAGAAAGTTGCAAGTGGGGGCTTTTTTTCCAGATTAGAAGATTATAGTAGGGGATGTTGAAATGCTTATAGTGATGTTGGGAGATCTTGCATACCCTTAAATGTAATGGCTCCCCATGAAACCTTACACGAGAAGCCTAAATTTGGTAAGGAGTGGTTCAACAATATGCTCAGTAGCTGCAGGATAACCATGGAATATGCATTTGGTAGTTGAAAGGTTCTCCCTTCTGGCAGGTTAGACCTGGATAATATTCCTATAGTTGAAGCCATGTGTTGCATAATATTTGTGAAGGTAAGGGAGAAAAGTGTGCTCAGGGATGGACTGCTGAGGGAGAATGGCTGGCTGCTGCTTTTGAGCAGCCAGATACCAGGGCTATTAGAGGGAAACAATGGAACAATTTGAATCAGGGAGGTTTTGAGACAGCATTTTGAAGATGGAAATCAGTAGCCATTTCTTCTCATGAGTGTTGCCATTTCTTCTGATTCGAATGTAATTCATTGGTATAACTATTGGTTGAGATCTGCATGGATCCTGCTATAGTTGTAAGATTTGTAGGATAATAGGGTCTTATGCTTAATATTGAAACTTATCAATATATAAAAAGGAGAGATGTTTCATATTTGGTGGACTTAAGAGAAAAAAACAAACGTTTTGTCAGTTACACACTGTTTCCTTAGGATATTGGGCTTTATGGTGATGTACACATTTTTTAGCAATGAATAGTCATGTGTAGGGCTTGACAAACAGCGGAAAAAACTGCTCACCAGCCCCGTACTGTGCATGCGCAAGACCCGCATTGCACATGCACGTGCCGCCGGTGAACGGGGTGTGCAGCTGAAATGTACTCCCCAAGGGCGAGTAGATTTTTATAGTTTGTTGAGCCCTGGTCATGTGGCACCTTAGAGACTAACAAAAATGTGCATATAGTATCATGAGCTCTTGTGGGCAAAACTCATGTCATCAGATGATATGAGGTAGAGTGGAGGGGAAAAAAAAGGGAACCTACAGAATAAGAAGGGAGAGGGAGGAAAAAAATTACCTGTCAATCGTCGTCCTAGTGCTAATGAGGCTAATTGAGTGCACTGGAAGTGTCTCATACTTAGCTTTTGATGTCAATAGGGTGTTGAATGTAAGGAAAACTAGTGTTATAATACGTTAACCAGTTCAAGTCTTTGTTCAGGCCAAGGGAAACTGTGTCAAATTTGCATATGAAGGTCAATTCCGCACTCTTTCGCTAGTTGTCTTGTGAAATTCCTTTGTAGAAGAATGGCTTCTTTTAACTCCATTAATGAGTGCCCATGCAGGTTAAAATGTTCTCCTATAGGTTTCTCTGTTACCATTTCTAATATTTGATCTGTGTCCATTAATCCTTTGTTGTAGAGACTGTCCAGTTTGGCCAATATACATGGCAGAAGGACATTGATGGCATAGATCACATTAGAGAATGTGCAGTTGTATGAACCTCTGATGCAGTGACTTGTGTGGTTGGGTCCTATGATGGGAGCACTAGTGTAGATGTGTGGACAGAGTTGGCAGAGGGGTTTATTGTAGGAGTAGGTTCCTTGGTGAGTGTGTCTGAGAATTTTTTGGAGCTCATGTGCATGCACTTACTGTGCGTGTGTGCGTCAGAATTCAGGTCACTGCATAGCAGGAGACATCTCTTGAATGAATGTAGGCAATGGACTTTTTTGTTATTTGTTTGAGGGACACAGGTTGTCATTGGTAGGCTTCTCCTGAAGAGAAAGCTATAGCTTGTGTCCACTATCTTTGCTCAGAAAATCTATTGTGAAGTGTACAACTCTACAACAGACGAACTAGAAAATGTGAGGGCAAAATCTTTATAGAGATGGAAAAATAGATCAATTTTATATGTTAGTGAAAAATTTTGAAATGGTCTTGATTTCATAATCTTGAATCTTAGCAGAGAGGTCAGCACCTATGGCTGAGTCTGTTCAGTCTTCAGTTGAAAGGAAGGTGTGCAGCACTCTTGCCATAGGAATGTCAAAGCTTGTGCAAAAAGGGTTACAATCAAGAGACACTCCCATGCAGAGCAGAGCTCAAGGAACTGAGGAGTTACAAGAAGTTTTTACTTACTTTGAGCATATATAATCTTGTTCTTAGCACTTGGAAATCCATATCCTTGTTATAATTTAGATGGTTTTATTTTAGTTCCTAGAATGTATGTGCTTGCCACTTTTGCTTGTCAAAATAATCCTATATCCTCTAAAAGTTATTAACTTTGTCCTTTTGTAGAGCTCTCAGTTACATACTGTATGTACAAAAAGAGTAGTCATGTTTATCTTACAAATATTTTATTCACTTCTCTTCCTATAGGTAATCAGAAACTTGAGAGTGTTGTGCTTAGTAAAATGAACTTTGAATCTTTTCTGAGAGATCTACTTCTGATTCGTCAGTACAGAGTTGAAGTTTACAAGAACCGAGCAGGAAGTAAATCTACTAAAGAGAATGACTGGTATTTGGCATACAAGGTACAATTCTCTATCTTTATATGATCAAAGTGGGGGAAATGCAGATATTTTTTTATTCATCCCACTTCACGTTTTCTTACGGCGTTTCATTGCCTCTACTGGCCATATGATTGGTAGTGAAAGAGGTCATTCAGCTTTCTGTGTGTTCCAACATTTCTCTGCTATTCCAGAGTGGGTTGACCCGGCACTACAAGTATACCATATGATGCTCGAGGGGGAGCTTCACAACACATGACTTACTATATGGCTATTAAATTCATAGCTTTGCTTTTTTTTTCTGCAAATATAGTCTTACTAAGTTGAAAAGTTAGAACCCGGTCTATTTATGTTCTGGGAGCATGTAATAAAGTGCATGTATGTACAAACATATTACTGTGCTTTACACAGCATCAGAAGATCACTACACACAGCTGCCAAAATGTTTCTAGCCTTACACTCCAAAGATAACATTGTATTAGTCACATTTAGGCTTTCTTTGTAACCATTAGGACAGGAAAACTTTTAAAACTAAATCTCAGAAAGTAGAATCTTGAATGTCCTATGGGCCACAAATACAGGCTGAGTATTTTGGCATTTTTGGATTAGAGTAATATAATTTGAGACTAGAAGGGTAGTTCAAATCAACCTCTTATTCTTCTTCGAGTGATTGCTCATCTCCATTCCATGTAGGTGTGTGTACACTGCGTGCAAGATTGTTGGAAGGTTTTTCCCTCAGCAGGACTGTTGGACTGGCAGGGAAGCCCCCTGGAATGGCGCCTGCTTGTCAGTGCAAATATACTCTTGCCGGCCCGCCACCCATCCCAGTTCTTTCTTACTGCCCGTGACAGTTGTTGGAATGCTTCTTGCTTGCTTTTGCAAGTGCACCTTAAGAGGCTCGTTCGTAGTATTTATTAGTTTCTAGTTGTTACAGCTTCGTGTTAGTTAGTGTTGGTCCGTTAGAATTGGCTCCATGCATTGCCCCCTTCTTCGCACTGGGGCATGCCCGGCTAAGCCCTGTTCATAGTTCCTTAAATCCATGCCACGCGGTGACCCGCATGATGGGTGTCTTAAGTGCCTTGGTGAAGCGCACCTCTCTGTTAACTGCAAGATTTGTCGCAGTTTTAAACTGAGGACCAAGGGGTGGGGAGATTCACGTTTGAAGGTCTTCCTGCTGGAGTCTCCTGGCATGGGCTGTTGACCCAGCACTGGCCAGCCACAGCACACTGGTCTTGTTACAGGAGGCTGCTGGGCTGTCTAGGGCCTCTCCGGCACTGAGGAGCTCTGCTGCCCGGCACTGCTTCCCTTCTCTGGTGCCGTAGAAGAAGAGATCTAGCAGGGGTAGGTCTGTCACAGCACGTGTCCAGAGTGCGTCCCTAGTCAGGACACTAACGCCTTGGGCCCAGCTGCCAGATTTTCTGCTGTGGTGCACTTGTGGCAACAGTCGAGCCCAGTACACGAGGCCAGTCTGGAGGAACCTGGCTGCTGAAGTGGCTCAGCCCTTTACTCTGGGCTTCGAGACCGTCAGAGAGTTGATCAAGCTCACATCCTCCCCAGCCTCCCCATTGGGCCCAGGGCACTTCCAAGACCCGCACTGAGGCTCCGGCATTGGGAGACAGGAGTCGTTCAGCCCCGAAGGTGTCAGCTACACTGGCGTCAGCCCTCCCTTTGGTGCCACATGCTTTGGCACCACCCGCCTTATCCACCGAAGTGATGGCACCGACCAGCTCCCTGGCACCAATGATGGACCCGGCACTGGGGCATGTGATGCCTCCTTCAGCAGTCCGGCACCGCAGTAAGCCTGTAGCCATAGCCAGGCTTGCCTCCCAGCACTGCTCTCCGGCACCAACCTCGTTAGCACCACCATGGTCCATGTCAGGTTATTTCTTGGACTCTGAAGCTGAGTCAGTTCTTTCCAGAGCTATGGCCTTCTGCTCTCGGTACTGCTCCTGGCACCAGAGTGCCTTCATGCAGCCTCTCCAACCCATTCTTCTCCCCCTTCCCCCGCCGGTTATTTATTTCAATAGTAGGCAGAATGAAGGATCTTCCAGTTTCAGCTCAGCGTATTTACTCCTCAATTTCCTCTTTTATCAAGGCTTGCTATGACCTGGCCCAGATACCAGCTTCTGCACTTATGGCCAACTTCACTAGAGCTCTGGCTTCGTCGGTTGCCTTTGTGGCACAGGTGCCCATCTTGGATATCTGCAGGGTGGCCAGCTGGTCCTCGAGTCATACATTCATTCCCAAACCATTATGCCATAGCTCAGCAGGCCAGGGATGACGCGGCCTTTGGTAGAGCGGTGTTGGAGTCCATTTCCGGGTAAGCTCCAGCCCCACCACTGAGGGTTCGGCTTGGGAATCACCTCATGGAATGGACATGAGCAATCACTTGAAGAAAAAACGGTTACTTACTTACTTGTAACTGTCGTTCTTTGAGATGTGTTGCGCATGTCCATTCCAAATCCCATTCACTTCCCCTTCATTGGAAAATTCCAGGAAGGAACTGGGGGTGGCCTGGCAGGGATATGGAGATATATATGCATGCATGCATATGTAGGCGCCACTCCAGGGTGTACCCCTGCAGGCCTAATGGATTACCGCTGAGGGAAAAACCTTCCAACAACCTTCCACACCTACATGGAATGGACATGATCAACACATCTTGAAGCACAACAGTTTTAAGAAGGTAAGTAATGCAGTGTTGTAATTTTGTTGGTTCCAGGGTAGTAGAGAGTCAAGGTGAGTAAGGTAATGTCTTTTATTGGACAACTTCTGTTTGTGAAATGCAAGGTTTGGAGCTCAGACAGAGCCTGAAAGAAAAACTGTGTGTATATTCAAAAGCTTGTGGCTCTCACTAACAGAAGTGGATCCAATAATAGATATTACCTCACCTCTGCTGCCTCTTTCTTTACTTTAAAAGCAGTTTCAGAATTATTTAAATATAGTTTGGGAATCGAGTTGCACTGAGAGTAAATTTTATTGGATACAAACTTACGGTGTAGTCAGTTATCATATTTGCTTTTATTTCCATTTGAGTGATTTTTAAAGTTTGAGATGTCTTTAGAACTCTGATTTGTTCCACTAACCTTGACAGTGTTTGTTCTTCATTCTAAGTTTTCTTTCCCAAATAGGGTTCTCCGGGTAACCTTTCCCAGTTTGAGGAAATTCTTTTTGGCAATAATGACATGTCGACTGCCATTGGGGTTGTGGGCGTTAAGCTACATACTGCTGATGGACAGAGATTAATTGGAGTTGGATATGTTGACACGACTCTTAGGAAGCTGGGTGTCTGTGAGTTTCCAGATAATGATCATTTCTCAAACCTTGAAGCTTTGCTCGTTCAAATTGGACCTAAGGAATGTGTGTTAGCAGCGGGAGAGACTGTTGGCGATATGGGAAAACTGAGACACGTAAGTTGCATAAATGTGTGGAGTGACTGATTTATACTTGTATATTAATTGAGATTGGGGAAGAAAAAGCTCTGAAATAAATTGTGATCTAAGATGAGTGAAGGCTAAGAAATAAACCGGATTCAAAATTTAACTTGATGGAATTCTGGATGGTACATAGATCACTTGTTCAATTAACAAAAGGTACTGGTAATCTTTGTCTATGCTACAAAATTAAATCTAAATGAGTCTGCTCACATCAACCTAATTCTAAATATCTACACTAAAATGTTGCTCGGGTTGACATGATCCCCACTACACTGACTTAATTCCACCTCTGAGAGGTACAGTACTTTAGAGGAAATAATTATGTCAACTTCACTGACAAATTGGTGCAAGCTAGAGATGTGATAGTGTACATGGTTAAATGGTTAACCACCTTTACGGTTATATGCATGTTCCCTCTGCACTGCTGCCTTTGTGTCAGAGGTAGCAGCATGGGTGGGGGGGGAAAGTAGGCGGGAGCCGGTATTTAAGCAGGCTCTCCATGAGCTGTGGCTTCCAGAGAGCTGCCTGCCTCTCACCCCAGTGTGTAAACGTGTAACTGCTGAAACATTTCCCAAATCCCCCACTTATTAACATCTCTAGTGCAAGCACTCCTGGTGTGGATGTGCATCACTAATGCAAAGAATGTAGTGTGGTCATGAAAAAAATCTTTACTTCTGAGGGAATTTTGTGCCAATCCTGCATATTTTGTCGTCAAATCATAGAATACTAGGACTGGAAAGGACCTCGAGAGGTCATCGAGTCTAGTTCCCTGCCCTCATGGCAGGACCAAATACTGTCTAGACCATCCCTGATAGACATTTATCTAACCTACTCTTAAGTATCTCCAGAGATGGGGATTCCACAACCTCCCTGGGCAATTTATTCCAGTGTTTAACTACCCTGACAGGAACTTTTAGTTACTTTTTCCAAATAAATGTGAAGGCGCCAGCATGGCAGTAGTTAACGCAGGCCACTGATTGCATAGAGGTGGGAGATCACCCTGCAGCCCTCCTCCCCTCCTGGGATACTAATTTGGCCATGAGACTGCACCTAGTACAAGGGCCAGGCCTGCCCAGGAGTACCCTAGGGCCCTGCCATCGATGTCAGGCACATTGAGATAGCAAGCGAGGGGGGTAGAGTTTTGCGCATATGCTCAGCCCTGGCTTCCAAATGGGGCATGAGGCAAGAAGACTCTTCTCAGCAAGTTCCAAGTGTTGAAGGGCTTAGTGTGAGGCTGTATGTATGGGGTGAGAAGATTGTGTGTATGAGTGTGGGAATTTTGGTTGTGTGGGGGAGGTCTGGATGCCCGGAAAGTCTGAATGCACAGAGGCTCTTTAGTGTGGGTGCTGGGAGTCTGGGGTTTGGTGGGTGTGGTGAAACTCAGTGAGGTGTGGGTTCAGGTGTGTGAGGCTCAGTGGAGGGTTCTTTGTGCAGGGGGCTGCACACAAGGATGCACAGAGGTTGGGGGCATAGAGGAACAGCTTCCTGGACATTGATCACTGCCCTGTAGCTGAGGAAGGAGAGGGGGAGGTTGAAGTGGGTAACGGAATTTCTTGCAGTTGGGAAGTTTCTGGAAGTAGATCTGACCCAGCCCTGGTGGCACCTTGTAGAGGAAGAGGAAGTCCTGTTCTTGCCTGTCTTAGCCAGGATTAGCATCTGAGCCTAGTGCAAGGTAGGAGCCACAGGCTGGGGCATCCTCAGCTCTGCAGTGATTGACATCTCTGCTAGCTGCTCTTGGTGCCCAAAATGACGCACCTGCTCTGCTGAGGGAGGAAGGGAGGGACTTATATGATTGCTGTTGCCTCTTTATTTTGCTTCCCTGTCAGCCTTTTTTTTGTGTGTGTGTGTGTGTGTGTGTGTGTGTGTGTGTGTGTGTGTGTGCAGGGAAGCAAATTTGCAGGCAACGTGAGTTCTGATGGTATGCAGTGATGCAGAATTCCCCCAGGAGTAAAAAATAATTTCTTTATTGCAGTGGCTGCATGGTGGTATAATAGAGGTCGACATAATTTTGTAAAATAGGCATTCTTAGGTTTTTACTCATCTTAGGGTGTGTCTAGACTACTGAGTTTTGTCGACAAAAGTGGACTTTTGTCGACAAAACTATACCTGCGTCTACACTACCGCTGAGTTCTATCCACATAACTTTGACAGAACTCAGCAGATTTGTCGACGCTGGTAAACCTCATTTTACGAGGCATAACACCTTCTGTCGACAGAGTTCTGTCGACAGAAGGTCTTATTGCCTGTAGGGTTGCGTCTAGACTACAGGGTTTTGTCGACAAAGAAGCTTTCTTTGTCGACAGAACTGAATGTGTCTAGACGCTCTATGTTGACAGAAGTTTTGTCGACAGTATCTGTCGACAAAACTTCCGTCGACAAAACTCTGTAGTCTAGACGTACCCTTACTTTCTTCTCTCTGTATAGTCTCACAATTGAATACAAATTGTCTTTGAGAATACACTTTCATTTCTTTGAACTGAAAATGACTTGTTATAACTTACACACAACAGATTATTCAAAGAGGAGGAATCATGATTACAGACCGAAAAAAGGCTGAATTCACAACAAAAGATACTGTTCAGGATCTCAACCGCTTGCTAAAATCAAAAAAGGAAGAGCAAGTGACTAGTGTAACATTACCAGAGATGGAAAAACAGGTGAGTAACTTGTAGCAGTTGTAAATAAGGTATAATTAATAATGCCCCTTTTTTTTAAAAAAAATGACACTTATCAATTGTAACATGGCCACTATGCTTTTACTCTATTCCTTTCTTCCTCGTCTGACTTTGTTGTTAATGAGTTCAAGGCACAAACTAGACTGCCTTTGTATTTGTCCAATATTGGGCATATTTGAGCATCACCAACATATGAATAATAAATGAGATGCAAAAATACAATATAACTTTGATTTCAATTTATTGGTGGTGTTGCTTTTTAGAGGGGAAGGATTAGTCTGTAGGATTATTTTAAAGCTTTCCTGACTATTGGAATTGAAATTACATCACCTTGCAGTAGATGCTTTAATAGGCATATTTTAAAGGAAAAAACATTATTAGGGACTACTTAAGCATAAATGAAAAATAACTTTAAATTTTCCATAGTGCATTTACATTTCTGTACTAAGTTTGTTGTGGAATCATACTGTTCTTTATGGGTTCTAAGTGGTTTTAGGTGCTTATTCCTATGGTCTGAAACTGATCATATTGGTCTGATCTCAGACATTTAAATGAATGCTCTCTGTATTAGCTCCCCATGGAATAGAATCCCATTTTAGAATCCTGATGTGACATTCAAAGCTCTTTAAGGAATTGGGTATAACTGCCTGACAGCTTGTGTGCCCTCCCATTGATTTGTTATAACAGTTACTTTCAAAGAAGCCATTTGGCCCAGTCCTCCAACTTTCTAGGTCATTCTGCATTATAACTAATTGCAAATCTCATCTCAATGATTTAATGGTCTCTAAATCTTTAATTGCACATGTAGATTAATCATAACAAATGAATCTGCCATCCAGGCCAGTTTTTGCATAGCTGACCTCTGAAAATGTGAGAACATCCTGTGTTTTTTGTATGACAGCAGCTATGCAGTGATCTCTCTAGGTACATGTCTAACGGGAGGGCCAACTTGCCTGCCACAGCTAGGCACAAAAGACAATAATGCAGGTTAGGAATGGTCATGGTGGTAAGGAATAAAATCCTACACAGGTTACTTTAATTTGTTTTAGATTTTTTGCAATAGGTTGTATTCCATAAATGGTTTATTTGACTTTGACTGGGAGGTTGGAGACTATATGATGGGTTTTGTGGTCCCTGGCTGAGAGTCACCTTCCATACATTTCACAGTGAGGTTTTAGTGAAGTGTGTGATTCTGGCTTTCATTTAATCTTATGTGACATAATTTCTAGGTAAGTACCATGAAAGCGGTGTGCTAAAGTATAGTGAGTTTGCTAGGACAGTTTGGAGCTAGTTACAGAACTGAACCCTTTGCCTGTTGGCACCGTGGGTTTCCCAAGGACACAATTCATGTGTTAAAACAAAGTGTGTTTTACTTCTTCTGCTTGGACAGTCTTGAGATACAGAAAGGTGACTCAGGGAGCAAGCATGTTTTATGGTATCAGGGGAGCAGTGGTAACAGCTTCTTCCATGGTACTTCAGTGAAAACAGATGCAGACTTAAGCACTTGTATAATCACATGCACCATTAAGCTTTCTCTCCCAAAAATATTCCATTCCCTTTTGTTTCATTTGGAGCCAGGCGAGGAACTGGTGAAGAGGTGCAGGAGGGGGCCACATGACCCGCCTCCCAGCCCATGACAACCCCCTTTGCACCTTGCTTTGCCCTTTCCTCCGAGCGATGTGATCCAGGGGACTAGTGGGGCTGGCGCCAACAGCATAGGTCTGCTCCCAACCTCCTGCACTCTCCATCAATGGCAGGACAAGCAGAACAGTGGACCCAGCTTGCTGTGCTCTTCCAGCTGTGTTACTCTACTTCCTGTGGGTCAGTGCAGGGTGGTCCTGCCCCTGAGTGATATGGCTGGCCAAATGAGTTCAGGGAGCTGGGGCCATTCTTCTGCTTGCTCTGCTGCTACTGGTGAGTGCGGGGAAGGAGTTAGGATCTCCCCCCCTGCTAGCCCTCTTGCCAGCTGCTGGCTGGTCCCTCCAGCTCATGGTACTTGGGGGGGCATGTCCTCTCTCTCCCCCCCCTCTCCCCATGCTTCACCCATGGAGCCAAGGATAGTTCCTTTTATCTACCTGCTTCAAGATACAAATCTTTTGGAAAGCTTGATGTGCAAGCAAAAAATATGCTTGTTTTTCATTACTTCCTCTCTAGTGTAGCCGAAGTTTAATCATGAACTTTCCTTTTCTTTTTTTAGAGTTTGAGCCACATCATTTACATTTGATGTAACAACCATATCATAATCTAAATGTTTTTGTTTCTGAATATTCTGAACATGTATTAAGCACATGCTGTATTTGTACACTACAAATATTTTGTATTCTGTGATTTCTTCATATTTACTGGATTTTGTAACTCAGCAAAGGTTTGATGAACCTGGGTATAACCCAAGTTTCTAGGACATTATGAATTCCTGTTTTAGGCAAATGACTCATCAGATAATCAGAAAACAAACAAAAATTTGCCACTTTTTTTTTTTTTAAGTTGACATGGCCCTGAGAAGCTGTTCTTACGTATTGGTTGTCATTCCATAAAAGCATCTGTTGTCAGACCTATTTTGTTTACCATAACAAACCTTTGTAACTTTAGGTTGCTATTTCATCCTTGTCGGCCGTTATCAAGTATTTAGAGCTCTTGTCGGATGAATCTAACTTTGGACAATTTGAATTGAATAGCTTTGACCTCAGTCAGTATATGATACTGGACAATGCAGCTGTTCGAGCCCTTAATCTTTTCCAGGTAAGAAACAAACATTTTACTTAATGAAATGTTTAATTCATAAAAGCATGTACTTTGCTACTTGATAGTAGCTTTGCTTCAGTCTGTCCCAGAAGTACTTTTTGGTGATGCATAATTGGACGTTCTGCTTTCTGGTTTCTATTTTTATTTTTTTTGGCTACTCTTATGCTGTGTTGTAACTTCCTAGAAAAAAAGCAAGCAGAGTTGGAGACTTTTCCCACCACCACCTTTACAGGAATTCCCAGTAGACCGAGCCAGAGGAGTTCCCAGCTCTGGTGGCTGCAGCTTAGTATTTTAAGTCTCATTTATTTGCATGCATAATTGTACTATGTTCATAATCACACTGGGGGAAGAAGGGGATTTGACACACTGGTCCTTTTATTGACTATGATGAGATGCCAAGTGCAACTTACATCAGGCAATGAACAGGTTCCTTTGAAGGGTCTGTTGAAGAAACCTAGACATTTAAATGGACACTGTCAGGTTAGCCTTTTTAAATCAAATGGATGAATGTCTAAAAATCCAAGTGTCTGAATGAATCGTAAACTTTTTTGTGACACTGTGCCCCTTCCCCCACAGTTTGATGGTGTATTTGCTGCCTGTACCCACACACAAGTGATTCAAACACTGGCATATGTTGATTTCACTTGTACTTTTTTTTAATCAGATTCTTAGTACTCCTTGGCCTGAGCTACAAAGCACTTTGGGCCCCATGGAAGATGCCCCGGAAGTAGAGTACTACTTCCATACCCACAAAAAAGAGGCTCTTAGAGAATCCAGGGAGTTAGTAATTCAGATCTGGTGCCTAGGTTTGCAAGCCCAGGGAGAGGAGAAGCCTGAATATTCTTGCCACCTTCTCCTGCAATGTGCAAAACTTTAGGGAGGAGACTCTGTTCCATTCCCTTCTCTAGCTTTATGCTGGAATAATTTTTTTGTTTAAACTGTCAGGTTTCTATTGGAAACTGGCTGGTGTTCCCCACTGAGGCTGGCACTTAAGTCTGCTAAGCTCTCATTCTCAAACCTGGGTTTCCAAGGTTCCCGTTGTGAGCTTTGATGTTCTGGAATCAGCTTCCAAAACCTGTGGCTGTGCGCCACCCCTTCCCTTCTCTAGCTTTATGCTGGAATAATTTTTTTGTTTAAACTGTCAGGTTTCTATTGGAAACTGGCTGGTGTTCCCCACTGAGGCTGGCACTTAAGTCTGCTAAGCTCTCATTCTCAAACCTGGGTTTCCAAGGTTCCCGTTGTGAGCTTTGATGTTCTGGAATCAGCTTCCAAAACCTGTGGCTGTGCGCCACCCCTG